CATCTTGATTATTAACTTTGAAATTTTTATTTTGATACATACTCGTACTTCCATTCCCCTTTCATAAAGAATCATCACATTAATTGAAAATTTGAATAATTCAAACTATCAATGTGAAAAAACAAATCTATACTATTATTTTAAAACAGGAAGTTGGAAGGACACGTGTCCACTTCCTGTTTTTACTGATTAAAAAAATATTTAACAAAAAAAAAAAAAAATCATACATTTACACCTTAATTTTCGAAGTAACTTTATACATAAAAATTGATCATGCCTTTACAAACTAACTTTATACATGAAAATTGATCATGCCTTTACAAATACCTTAATTTTGAAACTAACTTTATACATGAAAATTGATCATGCCTTTACAAAAAAAATACAAAAAAAAATAACCTTTTTCAAACTAAGTGTAGATTTAAGTTTAACTATTATTTTAAAAAAAAAATTGTGTGAAAAAAGTGTTCTCTAACTTACAAAGGTGTCACTTCAACACGTTTTAAAATGTAAATACAGGATGCTAAACCCAAAATTAGTGTTATTTTTTTTATGAAAGATTAGTGTTTTTATAAAGGGAAGTTAATTGTTCATAGACCCATCACCCTATTGAAAATAGTAAGTTCCTTTCTACTTTTCATTCCACTATATATATATTTATATTTTAAGTTTCATTTATGTTATTATGTATGATCAATTTGTTTTTCAAATTTAATAAAATTGTTATTTTTAATTTGCATAAAGGTGATTGTGGGTCAACAGTGAAAGTGAAGATTAAAGCGGGCTGCAAATTATGTTTAGGTGAGCCTATTTCTTCAATTTGGTGTCTAATGCAATTTTAATAACTTGGAAATTTTTAATTTGTAGCCCTCTTATGTATATTGTAATGGGGAATACTGTTTTTTTTTTTTTTTTCTGCATGCATGCATGATTGATTCTGCATATATATGGCAGAAGAATGGTATAGTTAGAGGCTCAAAACTTATCTGCCCTTATAAGTCACAATATTGCATATGGCAGAAGAAAACAAAAGTTAAACCTTACATATATGCAATGCATATTATAGAATACTAATAATTAGAGAAAGTTAAAGAGTATTAATATTGAAAAATAAAATTTGCAAGTTCGACTAAAGGGCAACAAGATGTTGTATTTCACAATATGACATACGTTTATTTTATTTTTATTTTTATTTTGTAAAAATTTTGATAGACTTTTAACTATGTTTTACTTTTAAAATACCTTTTTATTTTTTTTTATTATTGCTTTAATACGGAGTTCTTATTTAATACTACTATTAAAATATCTTTTACGGATTACTATTCTTATATGAAATTGAAATACTAAGCAAAAATACAAATACAAAAATAATTATTATAAAACATTATAAAGTCGTGCATACAACAATAAAATCTAAACCGAGATACTGTAGTAAATTTGTAGAAACAGAAACAACATAACCTATACATCAAGGTGGGTGGATGGCTGATGATCTTACTGTATTTGTTTTTCAAGACATGAGTCTGAAAATAATTGATGATATCATTATATTGTTAAGTTGTTATATTAGTGAAGCAATACACGAGTATAATACTTATTATTCTGTGGTACTTAACAATTAAGATAAGTGCTAGTGCATGAAATCATGCATCATGTGAACTTGTATTGTTTATTTAGATTTTGGTTGGTTAAGTTTCAGCATTCCATGTGATTCCTACTCTAAATAAAGTACTTAATATATCATGAATATTAAATTAAACCACTCTGAATCTCTGATCCATATGCTCAATAAAATTAATTTAATCCAAAACTTAGGATTGTTAACCATATCAGATTGCCGGCCACTTGTTGACTTAGCTCGTATATTACTCCAGAGCTAAGCTACAAGGTACGAAGTGATGTTAAAAGATAAACTAAAAGCTACGGAATATGAAAGTCTTAGTAGGGTAAATGGATCGAAATATTCTATTTTATAAAATATTGATCCGTGTAATGTTAATTAGACATATATAGAAATGGTATAACTAATTAACATGATCAACTTGAATTTTTCTAGCTAAAAGAGTCATAAACCGAGGGAGTTGATCTATTCAAGCGAGTATTGTTATGACTTGTGAGCCAAGTTAGGCCTAAAAATTTAAAACTTATAAGTTATTGTGTTTCAACTCAACATCTTAAACAATACTTACAATAACTCAAGATCAAGTCGTCATTTATAGTATATCTTATCCAAATTCCGATTATAAAAATTAAAACAAAATGGGCTAGAATAACGATAATACCTTCATAGACGGATTTAACGAGTGCATCAACATTGCCTTGGTTGCGAAAAACTAATGGGAAAGGATTAAGACAAGAACTTTTTAATATGCCTCCATTTTTATTAGAATTATAATGTTGAAGAGATGAAGAAGAATCAAAGGAAATGCCAGCTGAATCATAACCACGATATTCCAAACGCTGCAAAGCATTGAAAAGAAGTTGGAGAATGTAAGACCTCTTCCTACTAACATTGTAGTTTATGTACCCAAATATTCCACACATTTTCTGTATAATTTCTCTCTTTAATTTTGTATTATTCACTTTATTTTAGGATTTGGGTTTTGGGATTAATTTGGATTTGGCTACTTATATAGATAGGAAATGATTAAATAATTAATGATTTTCATTTTATTAGTATTTTTATATGAAAATTGTTGACTTTTATATATAACAAGTCAACACATTTGCATATAAAAAATAAAATAAGAAGAGGTTTCAATTCAAACTAATTTGATACAAATCTACTACTTATGGAATACTTTATTAAATATGACTTGTGAATTGACATTATGATATTAATATTTTATGTAAAATGGTAGCAAGTATACTCGTATGCAATTATGAATTTTATTACTTCCTCTGTTACTTATTTTTTATCCCAATTGACTTTTCACGGTCTTCAAAACGCGTCTTTAAACGTATATATCTCCATTTTTATACGCATAAAAATTATTAAAATTTGATATTAATAAGCTATACAATGAGACGACTCTAACAAGATCCTACACAACTATATTATTACTTATAGATTGACGAGAATTTATGGTCAAACTTTTTAAAATTTGACTTATATTTTTGCAATGAGGCAATAAATAAGAAACAGATAGAGTACTCTGTATAAAGAAACCGTTTGTTAAGAATATTAGGGAGGTTTAGTTTATGTTAAACTATTTGTAAACACATGTGCATATATACACACAAAAGATTTTACAATGATTTAAATATCTTCGAATTCTTTAATGGAAATTTGCATTATTGGTTTAAAAGTAACCATTTTTTTTTGCTGGAAATTTAAGTTCATTGGTTGTCATATTATGTGTAATTTGGACAGCCTATAAAGTATAAACTATACTAGAGTGTGGTCAACTAAATCAAGTATTCCCACTTAAAGTTTATCCTAGCTTAGACACTTTATTAAACTTTGACTAAATAAATGATTGCATTAAAAATAGAAACGTTGGTCATATGGATCAATAATTATTTATCAAAAACATGATTTTCAATCCCTTCAAAAAAAAAATGATTTTCAATGGAAACAAATCAAACCATTAATTTATTGTCAATGTTTTGAATATCGATTCAATATAGAAAGCCTAAAAGCCTAAAACATTCAACATTATTAATAAAAGTTATATATTTGAAAAATACACATTAAGACAAATACTACAATATTCTATTGAGGTGTTTGGTTAATGAAATTTTAGTATAAGGTATAAGTTTAGAATAACTTAAATCTATTGTCTTGAATTTGTAAAGATTTGTAAATTTAAAACCCATGTATCTAACCCCAAAGTGTGGGATTTAGATCGAAAAACTAAGGGGGGTGGTGGATTTTGCTCATAATCTTTAAAGTACGGTATCAGAATAAAAGGACAAAAAAAAAAATCATTCTTGGATATTTATCAAATATGTGGATTTTGCTGATACCATTAAGGAGTCGCTTGGTTTGCATAGGGGGTAAACGGAATTGAATAAATAGAGGAAAAGAAAAAGAATGGAATGGAAAACCATGAAATTACTATGCTGTTTGTTTAACAAACAAAAGGAAACATGACACCAGCCCCACCACCACACAACCATTTAAGGGTGGCAATTCGGGTTAGTAGGTCAGTTTCGGGTCAGATTTCGGGTTGTGCTTAGAAACTATCAAAAATAGTGTAACACTTAATATTATTACGAAGTATGAACTTTGGGTCAAATCGGGTCGAATTCGGGTTGTTCGGGTTTGGTTCGGGTTTCTCTTAGTAACTTTGGGTCGGGTTCGGGTTGAGTTATCGGGTCGGGTCTGGGATTGCCAGCCCTACCATCCATTTCCTTTACTTTCCACCTTCTAAAGCCACTCCTCCCCCACCACTCGTCGCCTCTCGCCGCACCTCCCCCACCCCTCACTGCCATCCCCATCCCTGAAAAGCCCTCCCCTTCCTTGAAAAACATCCCCCACCCCTGCAAAACCCTAGAAACGCCTCCCCCTCCCCAAAAAACCGTCGGCCAACCCTCCACCCTCCCTCAAAACCATAGCAAAGCAACCCCTGCGTTTCAAACCAATCACCATGTCCTTTGATGAATGGAGAGGGTAAAGAGAATGAGGAAAAAGGCCAAACAAACAACAATAAAGGGGATAAGGGTATTTGATTTCCACTCGCTTTAATGAACACCCCCAACCAAATGAGCCCTAAGTTTCAAAGTAATCACCATGATTTATTCCTAAATCTAAACTCATACACCAACCTATAAATTAAATGGTCGTTCAATTTGAACAAAGTTCACTTTAAACTTGGAGGATGATCGAAAAGTTCATATTAGTATTAATCAAATCTTAAAGTATTAAGAACGAACACTTTATTTTGAGCATAAAAATCCATAACATAACCTTAACGTGTATTGAGAATGAAAGTCAAAAACTCTATTTAGTTGGACTGTGGCCCAGCCAGGGCTCAGGCTAACCCAACCTCTCCTAACCCAACCAAATAAAACTCGAGTTTGTTGACTCTCCTTCCTTCTCTTTTTAATCAATCAAATAAACGATTTTGCAGGAAAACCCTAATTAAGAATCTTGAGATTGTGAAATTAGGGCTAGAGTTGCAGAAATCAAGCAGTCGAAGATGACGCAAAAGGCGAACATGTTCAAAGGTCAATCGAAGAAGAAAGCCGTTCCTCCTAGTCGACATGGCAAAGCTTCTCACATTCGCAAAGGTATTTAAACTTAAACCCCAACATTTTCTCTCTCTTCAAACGCCATTAAACCTGCTTTCTTAAACCCTAATTTCGGTGTTTGAATTTCAGGGAAGAGAGCAATTAAGCCGTCGAAGCTCACCAAGGAAATGGATGATAGTCGGGTAATGTAATTTTACCCTTGCTTTTGTTTAATTGATTGTATAATTTTGTTTTGAATGGGCAATTTTTTTTAGAGTTTATGATTGATTGTGCAAATTTTTCTTGTGGGGGTGAGTTGCTGGGTTGTTTGATTGATTGAATCTCATTGTTTATTAGATTCTTATTCTATGATAACATATCATATTCAATTTAAATGTTTAGCAATTGGTGTGATATGATAAGATTTCCAAAACAAAGATACTACTGACCCTGTCGCTTGCACAATGTTGGCTCGAATCGTAATCTTGAGCAGTTTGGTGAACATTGTGGAACAAAGAGTGTACCTTGTGAAATCTGTGATGGAATTGAGCTCAGAGAAAGGTGCTTGAGCTGCAGTGTTGTAGTTGCCTATAAATCGACATTGTTCGTAGTTATTGATGATAAAGATAATCCCATGGGTGTCAATGGTGTAATTGTAAAAGTTGCTCACCTATTTTGTTTTATGGGTGGAGGGCTCATCTTTTAGTGTTTGGTACTACTACTGCACTTGCACCAACTAGGTCATATATTTTCGCTACATCTGCATGTGTCTTTAAAGATTGTAACTTATCAATCCTGTATTTAAAATTTTTGGAGAAAACCCACCACAGTGTTCAACTCTGGTGGACATTCAAGTATTGTTTTTTTAAAAGACATTAGTAATTTAGCAAGGCCTTAAGGTTGATGATACGTAATTAGGAAGCTGAATTTTGCTTGTGTTGATGGGTATATGTTATGACAAAGGTATTAATTAAATTTGTACAATGGCTTGTTGATTTTTTCTACTCTATTAGGCTATCAGCACTGAAATGTTTCTCACTTCCAGTAGACCATGTTAATCAGTTTTGAGGGTATCTATAGGGATTTACACTACTTTTGGCTATTCCTCTTTTAGATGCCAGGCTCCTAGGAAGAACTGCTTGATACAGTAGGGATGCCTTGAAAGTATTGCTTCCTCCTGTTAGATGTACTGCCTTTCTATCTTCACTGTGAAGCTAATCATGCTTTTGCTTAATTATTGATTGATTGGTACCATAACTTCATCTGTAATGTTGATGGGAAAGAGGCAAACAGCATGGAATATTTTGATTAATTTATAGTCGCTTTTCTGTTTTTCTTTAATACAAGTATACAACACTTTTGCTGCATAATCAGTGTTCAAGTAAAGAGTTGCAAAGCCAATTATCCTATACAGCTTTCAGAGCTTTATTGTTAAGATTTTACTTTCTTGCATTTGTATGTTTCATTTATAGATTATAGGCTATAATCCAAGTCTTATCACTTTCGGATATGGATTGTCTTCCATTTTCCCTTTTCAATATAAAACAAATTGTTTTTGAAACACCATTGAAACATTTATATAATGCTCTAGATGTTTGCTCAAGTGTGTGTTTGGTTGACATGAAAAGGAAAGTTAAATTTCTAGGAAATGGATGAATGCAGAGTTGTATGGTTGGCTAGAACATAGAAATTTGTACTCCGAGTACATTCTGATTACTGTGGAAGCTATGACCTAATAAACAACATTTGTGCACTTATAGCCTTATAGGATTGTAACTACAAGAGGGAATAATGCTTTCATGTGAAATATTCTTATGTGGCCATGCTCAATGAAATGCATTTTCTAATTACTGTCGCTCAACTCTCACCCTGTCTCTTGTCTCTTGGCTCAACCAGGATGTAAGCAAGTTCATTAATTACTGCAACGAAGTAAAAGCAGCCACAGTGGCTTGCAAAGATGGCGGTCACCTTAGCATTGTTAAAACATCACAAGAACAATCAGGCAGTAAGAAGGAATAGGCGAACTAGCTTTGGCGATGATTCATGAAACAAAATCATAAGGATTGAAGATCATAGTCATCATACAACATTGTAAATGAAGTTTTGAGAGCTAGATCATATCATCATACAACTCGGGCAAAATAGCGTGTGTTATTATTTCCTTCTCGATTCGACTCGCCTGCTACTTTCTCTAATTCTCACTGCCATCATATCTGGTGGTAAAAAGAACTCCTGATTTTTGCCTTTTTGATCATCTAAATTTTGTCGTTTGTTTTTGTTGTAATGTACCTCTTATTTTCTAATCATAATTTATACAATTCCTTCAAATTTTAGCATAATCAACCTATTTTAAGTACTCAATATGGCAGATTACTTGGATTATCCCACATTATGCAGGTGACCTTTGTAGCACAAGCACGTTTTCCAACACCTGCACATCCCATTAACAATGTTTTATTCTCTCTACTCTGTTCAGTCGTCAGTTTTTGGGCTGTGGGCCTATGTCAGTTAGGTTTGCATATTGTACTAGTTAGACAATCTGGACTATGGTACTACTAATAACTCAAAGTCACTAGCACATGTTTAAAAATAAATAAAAAAAGCTTATCATTTTATTTCATCTAAATTTGAGCTTATGTAAGAGCATATCCAAATTATTAATTGATCAGACTTTTTGATGATGTGGGGTCCACTGCCAACTTTTGACCTTTTGTGCTTTACGATGCGTGGCTTTGTTTAGCTCATGATTAAATCTCAGCCATCTGATCAATCATCAATCATATGGAGTGCACCATATAAACGCTGCACGCGCCTGTACCGTATCTATTCTGAGTAAGCATATTACGTTTCCAACTTCTTGCCACTTTCTCTCCCTTTCTTCCCATTTTATCCCACCTCTTTTTGTCTTTTTATTTATTTATATTTATTTTATTAAAATTTTTGTTTCTACGCTTTTTCAAATTAAAGTTGAATTTTGCTTATGTGGACCTATAACCTATAATGGGTAAAGTGATAAGGAATTACCTTAAGTTGAAGCTTTACAAAACAGATTTCCTCAAAAAAAATAAAAAAAGAAAAAGAATAAAAAAATAAATAAAAATTGAGCACAATATTATAACCTTTACATAAATTTATTCCACGTGTTGAATTTCATAATGTTAAAAATGTTGTTAATTATTTTAAATCGACTTTAAGAGGTACTTGGATTGAATCTCATCCTTAATAAATTAGGATTTTCTTCATTATTCCTAATTTGCTAAGATTCTCAAAAATTTATGTAAATATCATATCGTTTGATGACAATCAATGAATAAATTCCATTTTTTCAATGCCATTAACTTAAAAACAACAAAAATGTTATCCTCAACACGTAAAGGACTTGTTTTCTATCAAACGGTCTAACCAAATGTTTCAGTGCAGATTTCACACCATTAAAAAAAATCAGCAAACCTTCAAAACATGCTCACATATGTTTCCAGAGTTAACCAGCAACCACAAGTTACAACATCTAACAGAAGCAGCCTAGAATCCTAGAGAGTAGCACAACAAAATTGACAGCGTTGATTACAAAAAATTGACTAAACGCGCCACGTAAGAGCGTGGTGAAATAAAAGGAGAAAAAAAATTATCCCAACACCACGTGGCGTCCTACGTTTTGTCCACTTCCTTATGATGTTACAAAAAAAAAACCTACTTTGACAACAAATTAAAATACTATCCTCTTCAAATTTTAACACCCAAATTTCTAACAACAACAACAAATTAAAAAAACGTTTCTAATAACGACTTCCTTCTCTCTCTATCCCATCTTTCTTTCTCTCTCCAAAATTCAAGCATCCATGGGAGCTTTTCAACATGTAATCACCATTTCTTTCCTTTTTTAGCGTTCTTGAGAATTACTCGAGATAAAATCTTAGTTCATGTAGCCGACCCTATGACATTAATATTAAGCTAGACTAACTTTGTTTGTTTGTTTTGGTGGCAGGAAACAAGGGAGGAGAGTGGAAATGGAGAAACAGAGGATATGGAGAAAGGTGGTGGTGAAATGGGTAATGAAGAAAAAAAGTTTGACACAAATTTTAATGCTTCAATGTTAAGAACATTAAATCCTACTAATCCTTTAAGAGTTGTTATTAATGGAAATTTAAGAACTCCATTAACAACACCACCACCAATTCCTCGTTCTCTTCATCATCCTCATCCTCCTCCTCCGAATGTTCATATTCCTCCGAGTGTTCAGCATCCTCCTCCTCCTCCTTCGTCGCAACCTCGATATATTCCTACCACCACCCCAACTCCTCAAGTAATTGATTTAATTAATCTTCCTTTCTTTTTTTAAATGCCTAGTAGTAACTTCCATTTTGTTAATTTTATGTTGATTAATTAAATTGGCATGTATGTTTCCGAGCATGCTAGAGTTAGGTGTACCAAAGGGTATCGTTATTAGTCATTTGGGGCTAGTTTCCCCTTAGGTACACTTACAGGGGTGGTACACGAGAACAACTAAGAATTTTTATAATTAGATGGATATACCATATATGTTTTGTTATTGCCTTTTTTTTAATGGGGGTTTTTTTTTTTTTGGGATTAATTTCAGCAATCAGTAGTTTCATTGAACTCAAGAGGGTACACCAACAAAATATCTCTATTTCTATTTGTAGTTCACAAGATTGCAGCAATTGGGTTGGTTGGATTTCTAATATACAAAGCAATTGAAGGGTTTCTTAGAGGTGGATCATTTAGAAGAAAAGAGCAAGATATATTGAAGCATTATTTACCTCAAGTTGAAGCTGCATCATTTTTGAGCATTATTTTGGCATTTTTATGGCAAAAAGCTGTTAGGGTTTGGCCTCAATTTATGATCCATTTCATATTATGGAGTAGTTTTGCTATGTCATTTTCAGCTGGAATTCTCCTTATTTGTTTCCAAAAGCCAACTACTGATGCTTGTGGAGCTGCCCTCATTGCATTTGCTATTGGGAATGGTTTATATTCTTGTTGGGTTACTCAAAGAACAAGTTTCGCCACCAAAATCTTGATAAAATCCCTCGAACCAGTATCGAAATTTCATGATTTAAATCATCCTACATACTATATGCTTGTCGCCGGGTTCTTGTGGATGTCTCTTTGGATATTGGCTGTGATTGGATCTTTGAATTTCTATTTAACACCATTGGTTATAATAGGACTAGTTTTGAGCTTAGCTTGGACTACTGAGGTCATGAGAAATGTGGCTAATTTGACAGTAAGCAGAGTAATTGCTCTGTATTACCTTAGAGGAATGCAGTCTAGTACTCATTTTTGCTTCCATAGAGCACTCACCAGGAATCTTGGGAGTGCTTGTCTTGGTTCACTCTTCGTTCCTACAATCGAAGCCTTGAGGATCATATCGCGGGGGTTGAATCTAGTCGAGGGGGAAGATGAATTCATGTTCTCTTGTGCTCATTGTTGCTTGAACATCATGAACTCTATCTTTAGATATGGCAATGGTTGGGCCTATGTTCAGGTAATTTCCTTATTCTTAAATAGTTCTCACCTAATTGTTACTTCATGAGACTTAATTAGGCATTTTCTTGTTCAATTTAAAACTTACTGGTAAGACAATCACACTAATTTGCTGATATTGGACATTTGTTCACTGCCATTTTCTATGCATTTATGAGATTAAGCCTCTTTTCTAACTTGTGACTATAGAACAAGCGTAACGCCACATTATGTTATCCTTTCAAATGGCATAATTTTATGCTTATTGCACTTGGACTAATTCATTATATGTTTTTGATTTATTCAATGATACATACATTAGTCATTATTGGATTGATAATGACTTAATTATATTAAAAAAATCCCTCCGTTTCAGATTATTATATCTAACTACTTAACTAACACTTATATTATCAATTTCCTTCTAGATTGCTGCTTATGGTAAAAACTTTACCAAGTCATCAATAGATACTTGGGCAGCCTTTGAGAGGCAAGGAATGGAAGAAATAGTTGATTCGGATATCATAAGCGCGGTTTGCTTCCTCTCCGGTGTATGCAGTGGCTCAATCTGCGTAATAATGGTGGCGGCGTGGACTCATCAAGTGCACCAAGGCTACACAGCCACCCTCTCCCTCTTGGCCTTCTATGTTGGTTACCTCATGGTTAGTACTAGTCTTTAAACCTTTCACCTACCTTAGTACAAGTAATATGTTTTTAATCTTTTGATGCATACCATTGCCTTTTACTCCCTAAAGTTCACTAGTACTACATTGTTTAATCATGTTTCAAGTTCATGGCACCTTTTAGGGTAGCCAATTAACCAATTAAATATATAAACTTTTAAGAGTTTTCTTTATATCATCGTGAGGCCCTACCATAAGATTTTATACGACATTTAAAATTAAGTATAATTCAGTTTTAAATAGTAAGTATCGAGTAAAGATCATTATCAATCAGCGACAAACAGTTTAGTTTAGTTCTATTCAGTTCATTAAAAAGTTAATTGAAAATAACAAACTTCATTATTAAAAAACAACTATACTCCGATCCATCTAAATTTTTTTAATTCATGCTTGTTGTAGTTGAATAAATAAATTCAACTAACAGACACTTATATTATTTGCTTTAAAGATCAACTGTAATGAACCAAATTAATAATTAAAGCCTTTTTGTTTAATTAATTCAGACAAGGATAGCAATGGCATTGCCTCATGCTTGTGTGAGCTGTTACTTCGTATGTTATGCTGAGAATCCAGAGAACAGGCTGTTTGATAAGACAATATCTGATCGATTAGCCTTAATCAAATCTGGTCGAGATGTAGCTGCTCCAACACCAAGGGTTCCTCATCGTTTCAATAGATCAACACGATAGATAACGTAACATGTTGATATGAACATATTTTTAACATGTGAATAGTGTAAAAGTCCAAATGATGCAATATTCAATTCTGAGACGAAGTAAGTTTATTATTGGAAGCTTTTCCCACTATCATATTTTTGTCAATCTTTGAGATTCATATTTGATGGTGAAACATCAAGCATGTGGGTAAACATTAAACAAGGGAACTTGTTGCAAATGGGTTGTTGTTTACTTGATAATTTAATATAGTTAGGTAGTTTGACTAATTTTAATTATTTCTTCCCCTTGTATTTTTTTATAGGAATTCTTTTATTTGTACATATAAGAATTTTTGGTCTTAATCAATAATGTTAATGCGAAAGTTACATGTGGAACAACCATTACTGTAGTATTAATCACAAGTGTTTTTTGTTAATTTAATAAGGTTACATGTATTTGAACATTCAAACCTTGTTCTGAATGGAATGGTTGTCTACAATTAATTGCTCTTAC